ATGATAGTAGACATATGTGTATATATTAATAATATAATATTATGAATATATATATATATTATGAATATATATATGAATATATATATATATTATGAATACATATATATATATTATTTATATATATATATATATATATATATATATATATATATATATATCACTCCATGTAACCATTGCAGTAATTGTAGGAATAGACATGAGTCTTGTTTTATGGATAAGGACAACTTCAGACAGCTCAGGAGCCCATCAAGGTCAGAATTAGTAATGGCTGAGCCAGGATTCCACTGCTGCAGCTTCTTCGTCTCCGCAACCTGTCAGGAGCATGGAGCTGCCCTGGATGAGCTGAGGTGTTCTGGGCAGTAGTCAAGCATGTGCTGTGGATCTCACAAGACCAGTGAAAGACTAGAAAGTGAGTGGGACTAAATGATCTCCATTTTTTCTGAAGTCCCCCGTTCTCTGATACTTTGGTGTCAGCAACATGTGCTTTTTCTAATCTGTTTTCCACCCTGAACTTTAAAAGAATAACTGAAAAAGCTCATTGTTATCAAGGAGACAATGTAGAAAAATAGGGCAAGAATAAAAAAAACTGATGAGATTTCCAAGTATTCAAGAAAGGCGCAGTTTAATTTGCATATAGGCATAACTTACACCTCACTTGGCAAATGTTAGGCCACAGCACAAACTCCTCTGTCGGAATCACAAATATCAGCAGATTTGCTAAGTACTGGACACAATATGCTTCTCCAACTGACGTGTTTCTCCATCACACGCACACACACACACACAAATAATAAAGAAATACATTTAATTTCTCTGCAAAAGAGAGCTGAGGATGGTAATCAGGTTACCTCACATTTGGAAAGCACTTTACAGTTTACATTCTAAGCCATTTTGTCCTCATGACAGCCCTGTGAGGTAGACAGCACAGAAATCACGATAAACCCCATTTTACAAATGAGGAAACTGAGGCTCAGAGAGGTGTAAACACTGGCCTAAGGTTTTCCAGCTAGTGGATGCAGATTTGGGCTAGGACTCAGGGCAGGGATGCCTCGTCCAGTGCCCTTTCACAACCGGCTTTCTAATGAAAGTTGAAATGGATTGTGTGAAAGACAGTGGTTCAACATCATTAAGTAGAACTATCATTTTTCTCGAGCAGATTAGATCAGTACAATCAATCCTAATGTCAATGTCATGCTGTGTGGCACCTGAGATGAATAATTTTTGGAATCATTCACGTGTTTACACCTAGTACAAGAAGACTGTGTCCCACTTTTACTCTGCCCTTCTTAATTTTAAGTCACCAGTGGGCACTGAGAACTGACATTTTGATTAGATTTATTACCAGGAATCATATAGTGGTGTCTGTAAACAAGTCAATATTTAAACTTACAAAATTTCTTACATAAATGAAAATGAATCTCGTTTACTGATTCCTTCTGCCAGTGGACATGTAATCTGGCCATAAACAAGAGATTATCTTTTTCTTGTATTTGTTTAATTTATTTTATTTTTTCAGTACTGGAGATTGAGCCCAGGGTTTTACTCATGCAAAGCAAGTGATCACCAACAGAGCCACATCCCCAGCCCTTTTTATTTTGAGACAGGATCTCACTAAGTTACCTACACTGGGCTCAAACTTGTAGACCTCCATCCTCAGCTTCCTGAGTAGCAGGAAATACAGATGTATGCCACCACACCCAGTGTAAAGTTTTTTGCAGGTTTTAAAAAAACTTGCTCTTGAATTCAAAATAAAGAGAGAGATTCTTTTTCAGAGGGAATAAAATGAAACTTTGAAAAATAAGGAAATCCTTTGCTTACAAATAAAAGTTAACTTTATTAGGAATAACTTCTTTACTGCATTACTTCTTTTAGTTAATAACTTAAAAGCTGACAACTCCTTGCTGGCCCAAGGTCTTGTCTCACAATGTGAGAGAAGAGCTGCTGATTCACCACACCTTCCAAATCGGCACATAATGGATTTTCTTTTCCAAATTATCCAGTAGCCATGAGTTTCACTTGTCTATAAGCAGTGCCCTAAGGTCCTCTGAAATTTGCCAGCAATGGAGATATTGTGAGAGCAGGTTGAAAATACTGCAAGAGCAGTTTAAAATTTCCTCTTTAAATTCCTTCACAGAAACACTAAGGAAAAGTGACAATGTTCTATTTCATGCCTGACTCTGTCAGAAAGTATATCAGCTTAGGTAAAAGACTTCTTTCTCCCTGTGGCAAAACTGAATGTCTTAGTTAATAACCAAAGGCATCCCCTAAAAACCTCAAGATGTTACTTGGCTCATAGAGGCTGACCTCCTACTCCTAGAACCGGTCTCCCGGAATAGAATATAGGGGGACTGAGCCTCGCAAGCATGTGCTGTGTGCCACAATACACACAAAGCTTGGGAGGAGAGGAGGATCAAGACTTCAACAGTCAGAAGAGATGACATAAATTGCTCTGGAGAATTTCAAGTGTGACCAAATTGAGGATTTTTGTTGTTGTTGTTGTGTTGTTGATTCTTATTTTAAACATGTGTTTCTATCTTAGCTGACCCACAAATAGTGCAGCTTGTCAAAGGGAACTCTCTTGGAGGTGGAGTTCTCTCTCTCTAGCTGTAGGAAACAAAACAGGAGGGCCATGTGACTCAAGATAACACTAAAAGTCAGCATTGAACTCAATAAAATGCTAAAAGTCATGTCTGACCACTGGGAGGCACTTCCAACATGCTATAGAAATTAGGCTCAAAAGTTTTGTCACTGTGAGGAAAAGCTGCATTGCAAAAGAGGAGGAGCATTGGAAACTCCTCTCATTTTTTTTTTTAACATAAAAATGGCAGTGCCTCTGGAACAGCTGGGTCAGAGAAACAGGGTTCAAATTTCCAAGGAAAGTGCACATGGAGGCATCCCTTCCCCTTCAGAAGGCCGTGGGACTACAGGGCAGGGTACAACTCATTGACTTTTCCATGTGGTGCTTTGCCTGAAGCTAGGTACCGGGTATGTGCGTGGTCCTCTCATGAATTTGTCCTGGTTTTTGTTCAACTTCCAACATTTTTTTTCCTTTTTGAATCAAGAAAGCTAACCTTTGCCTAGCTTTTCTTTTGCAAGAACAAGAGGTGTTTGATGCAACTGACACATATTTTTTCAAACCCTCGGTTTCTGAACACTGAGAAATAAATCACAAGGTGTGCATGGTTAGAATCCAACAGCCATGCTTCTCATCATGCATCAAGATGCAGTCAATCTCTTGTCTGAAACTAAAGAGAACAAACAAGCAATTTTTTAAAAAAGAAAAAAGAAAAGTAAAGCATCCATAATGAACCCTCCTTGGGCCTAATGCTACACTGTTGGCTAATATGAGCTACAGAAAATATTTTTGGAATAGTTTTCATATATTATAAATACTTTCTTTTCCTTATTTGATATTTCACTATGTAGTATGTACAGAGATGGCCCTTACTGTGCAAAAAAAAAAAAGTACCTTCTTTACTTCTATGATACGTTATCAATGCCAGCTCTTTCATGGGGTCTTAAGAGCTAACGGAAATTTATTAATCAGCTGTTAGCTCTACCAAAAAATTAAAGTGCAAAGAAGAGGGAAAACAGCCAGAGAGATCAATTTTTCATTGTTAGCATCAATAAGCTTCATGCTTTCAAGAGCAAATGTCAGGTACAACAGGCTCAGGTAATAATAACTCTGTCGTGTTTTCTTTTTTCTTCTTTTAAAGCAGTAGTCTCCCTGAGAAGAGAAGAGGGAGGTAAACGATAAAATAGCCCTGTTTCCTCTACAACTGACAATCTCTATAAAACTGAGGCCACTTTCCCAGCCATTGGCAGCAGGATTAACCTCTGAAATTGGCTTTCTGCTGTGAGAGCTTTTGGGTGATTGGGCCCATTTCCCATACAGTTACAGAATTCTCACTCAGAAAGATCTCAAAATCATTTTTAAACAAAAATGGCTGGGGTGGAGAAGGACTGTCTACCAACAGCACATGGAAGTGTGGGTTTTCAAAAGAAAATCCCACAAAACAGTTTTTAAAAAATACAATCCATGCTCATAGTGAGCCTTTTAAAAAAAAAAAAAGGTTTGTGTAAATCAGAAGATTCCTATCATACTATCAGAAAAAAGGAAACAAGCAAACGAGGTACAAAGATGGTTTTTAGGTATATATTTTCACTTATCAATGAAACCCATTATTCCCCATAGCACTTGGTGGCCTTTGATCTTGTTCCACAGTTTTGTCGGTGAGGTGGCATGCACCTTTCTGCAAATTCTGCAGCTGCCTCTCCAAGGGGGTAGCTTCTTGGGACCACCAATCTCAGGAAGAAGCCCCCACCCTCACCCCAAGATGGCCACAGACTGAAATCCTCTGGGGCACAGCCTAATGTTTTTAATTAAGGAAATGTTACCAACAAATCCACTTGAGTTTTATCTTTTTTTTGTTTCCTGTCCTGTTGCCTAAAGACTGAAAAGGCAGTTTCAGAACATACCATTCCTCAAATATAAATATTTATAATGCACTGAGAACCATGCACATGCTGTAGACTGGCACTGCTGATGTGTTGGCCCTAGAGAGGAGGCTTCGGCTTTCCTGTGAAGCTTGTAATGGAAAGAAGTGTCATGGAAGCAGTTAAATCCTAGGAAAAGATTGGCAGTTGTGCCCAGGCCAGTGAAGTGCCAGAGAAACATCACAGGTCTTTTCTGCAGGCCCTTGTCCCCAAGTTCTAACAGAACATGGGGCAGAGGGAAATTTACCTTCTTACCAGCTTCATGAAAGTGGCTACAAGCCTCTCCCATCTTACATTCCCTTACATAAAATGCACCATCAGCTTTACAGTATCAGTCTTTTCATCTTCCCACCCAGGGCTGAAGCAGCTGACTTTGACCCACACAGCTGGGGTTGGCTCAGTCCAGTTCCATCTTCTTCAGTGGAGACAGGAGACTGGCTTCACCTTTCCCCAGTCCCCGCTGCACCGTGTGAGGCATGGCATGCACAGTTCTGACTGTTCCCTTTCCATGGAAATGCCGAGGTCTCGGGGCAAGGCCAGATCTTCAAGCAGGGAGTCGAGGTTCAATTTTTAGTGACAGCTCATAAAGCGTATCTTCATCTATGATGAGGGCTTTGTCAAGCAAGTACTGTGTGACCTGAAAAAAAAAGACATTGCAGCTTGCATTTCTTTCAGAACACCAGTAAAGACCTTTCTGAATGGAATCTGACACATTCAGCGTTTTCTCTTAAACATTTAAAATTTTTGTATTACTAAAAAATGTTGTGAATATATTCGCTTTTATTTTAATCAAACATGTCTAGTCATTTCCCACCTCTGTCCCAGGTAGCTTCCCCAAGAGGCACCACTGTTACCATTTGGCATGTATTGTCTCCCAGATGTGTTACTGTATTTTTACAGATATTACACTCACTTACAGAAACCATTTCCCTTGTTCTCATAGATGACATTATGACCTACATTGTATTCTGCTTTCCTCTCTTAATTGTAACTTATGGAGTGCTCCCATGTCAATATAGAGAGCTCTAACTGTGTGGTACAGTATTGATAGTGCAATATACTAAAGTTTCTTTAATGCTCTATATCGATAGACATTGAGTTGCTGTCTATATTTCACCATTACACAGTTACAGGAAAATCCTTATTAGCAAGCTTCCTGATGCTTATATAGGAACACTTTGCTTGGGTAGGCACCAGCAATGAAATGAAAGGAAATGACACTAGAAATAAAGATTTAGAGGGATAGGGTGTTCTCCATGAAAATATTTTCTTATTTTTATTGAGATATACGTAAGTGATATTAAAAGTTTGATCAGTTTTGACAGTTGTATGCACCCATGTAAGTTACATACATACATACATACACAGAAGCTCCTCCATGCACTTCCCAATCTGCTCCAGAAGCAGCTGCTGCTCTGATTCCTATCACACATTAATTTTGTCTTCCCAGGAACTTCATATAAATGGACATACAGCATAAGCTCATTTCTGTCTGGCTTACTTCACTTGAGTCTTAACGTTTTGATATTCATGCATGTTGTGGTATGTATCCGTAAATATTACTGATTGGTGAGCAGTGTGCCATTGTAGAAATATACCACAGTTCACTTACCCATTTATCTGTTGATGGACACTGGGACTGTTATGGACATTTTACATGAGTTTTTTTTTTTTTTTAATGGGCATATCTTCATTTCTCCCTTGGAGAGAAATGGTTGAGTCATAATACATACTCAACATTCTAAGAAAACTCCAATGGCAGTTTTCCAAAATGGGTGGGTGATCTTACTCTCACCAGCAATGCATATAAAAGTTCCAGCTGCTCGGTGTACAAGTTTTAATTTTAAAGGATGATGTAATATGACTTTCAAAGTTACTAATCCTACCTGTTTTCCCATATCCTGACTACTGTTTATATTATCAATCTATTGAATTTTTCCTAATCTGGCAGGTGAGAATGATATTATAATTTGCAAATTTTATTGGTGAAGTTGAGCATTTTTCAAATCTTCATTGACCGTTTTTGTTTCTTCTGTGAATGAAATGCTCAGAGTTCTCAATTTTTCTACTACATTGTTTATGTTTTTCTTATATATTTATACAAATACTTTTGTTTTGTTTTATATGTTGAAAATATTATCTCCTAGTCCACTGCTGGCATTTTGACTTTGTAAGTAACTGTCCATTGTCATCCATTGTCATCCGGAATGACGTTTTCATACAGTAAATTTCATGTAGTAAACTTTATCAAGCTTGTCTTTTAAAGCTTTTGCATTCTGTAAAGAATGGTCTTTCAAATCTAAAGGGCATAAATGTTGCACACTGTTTTTTATTTGAATATTTCTTTTTATATCTAAGTAAAAAACTCATCTGAAATCTAATTTTGCAAACGGTATAAGATGCAGAGTTCAAATTCCTATTCCACTTACTAAATGATCAGTTTCTTTCTGGAACTTTTGGTAAGTTTCTTCTTTATCCCATATTATATTTTCATATTGATAAAATCTGTGTCTGGACTTCAGTCCATTAAATTTTTATTCTTATGGGAATATCATCCTGTTTTATTTACTCTATCTTTAGAATATACATTTGTATTTGGAAGAAACAATTCTCACTTCCTGTTCTTACTTTTCACAAAGTTCTCATCTTTTTTTTTTCTACTTAAGGTCCCTTATGAATTTCAGAATAAGTTGGTCAAGTTCCATGAAAAGCCATATTGAATTTATATTAAGATTTCAATGAATTTACAGATTAAATTGAGAACATTTAAATAATAGCAAGTCTTCTGATTCATAAACTTGATTTAGCTATATAATCAGTATCTCCTGCATGTACCTCAGTTCATAAAGGTCTTATACACTTCTTGTTCCACATAATCCTAAGCATAATAGATTTGTTTCTTTTTTTTAATGAGAGTTTTATATTATATTTCATCCTGTGTTGAAAATTGTTGGCTTTCATGTTAGGTTGCTATGCTTCTTTAATCAGATTTTTCCTGGATTTTTTAGGCAGCTGATTAAATCACCTGTGAATTATAACATTTAATTTTTACTTTAAAATTTTTTATACCTTTTACTACTTTTTATTGCTTCATTGGCTTGGCTATTTTTTTCAGCTCAAAACTGAACAGGAACAGTGACAATGACAACCTTGTTTTTCATCCTGACTTGGTTTAATTCAAGAGGCATTTATTATCTACTACTGGGCAGGCACTGTGCAAGATGCTGGGGGGATACAAAACTAAACACAAGAGGCATGGCTCTGACCCTCATGGATGTTACACATATACACATAAGCAAACAAATACAGGTAAAAATGGCAACTCCAGAAGTAAGTGCTGGAAAGTAGAGGTACCTAGTGCAATAAAAGCTGAAAAGTGAGGAGTGCCTGAGAAAATGAGAGTTAATTTGTGAACAAGTTAAGTGTGCAATGCAGAAGGAAGGGCACCCCAGACAGAGATATGGAAAGCCCTTTAGCAAACACATATAAAGCAAAACTTAGGGGCCTATTAAAGAGTCTGTTTCTCACTGTTGGAATGGACATTTAAAGATATGCAAACATAGGGTAGGGCTAGGATGATTCATCTGTAGAATTGGAATCTTCAGTATGAAGTTGGGTGTATCTTAAAACAAATACATTTGGTTACACATGGAAGTATTTATGTGTGGACAGACATGGGTTAGAAAACACACATACATTTCTGTGTTCTGTCAGCTCGGAGCGCCTAAGAGAAATGAACCTCTGAAGTATGCGCACCAAGAGTCTATATGGTTCCTACTATCATTCTTCAATACAAGGAGTTAGAGTTTCAGGAGAAATAACTGATTCTAGCATTGGGGCGAGAAATACATAAGATCAGCCTGGAGTATCTTACAGTAGCAGCAAATTATTAAGACCTCAAAAAAGAAAAGGAAAAATAATCCCACACTGATAGGGGTTCCTAAATGAAATGCAATATGAATGAATCCTGAAACAGAGAAATTACATTAGGTAAAAAGTAAGGGAATTCTATCCTCAAAAGACTGGCAATGGAACCACCATATGACCCAGCTATCCCACTCCTTGATATTTGTCCAAAAGAACTAAAATCAGCCTACTACAGTGACACAGCCACATCAATGTTCATAGCAGCACATTTCACAATAGCCAAGTTATGAAACCAACCCAGGTGCCCTTCAACAGATGAATGGATAAAGAAAATGTGGTATATACCCAATAGAGTGTACTTGGTCATAAAGAAGAATGAAATTATGTTATTTGCTGGTAAATGGATTGAACTAGAAACTACTATGCTAAGCGAAATGAGACAGACACAGAAAGTCAAAAGTCAAACGTTTTTTATCATATGTAGAATATATAGAGAAAATAAGAAATTAAAAGAAAAAAGAGGTGGATATCAAGAAAATAGAAGGACGATCAGTGGAGTAGAGGAAGTGGATAGAGGGGGCGAGAGTAGGACCAGGAAAAGAAAGGAACTGTGGAAAGAAACAGACCAAATTATGCTCTGCACATGTATGTATGTACCTCAGTGAATCCCACATTTATAAAGCACCAATTAAGAAAACAATAAATAAATAAAATAGAATAGAAGGAAGACCACTAGGTTAAAAGAAGGGGAGCCAGAGGAAAAGGTGGAGGGAAAAAAATGAAGTACTGTGGCATTAAAATGAAGCAAATTATATTACGTGCATGTATGAATATGTCAAAATGAACCACACTATAATGTATAATTATAAAGCCCTAATAAAAATATTTTAAAAAGTAAAGGAATCTGAATAAACTATGATCTTCAGTTAATAATCATGTATCAATATTGGTTCATCAATTCTAACAAATGTACTATATTAATGATATTAATGTTAAGATGTTAATGATAGAGAATTATGACTGGTGAGGTAGGTAGAAATTTTTGTATTACTTTCTCAATTGGGATATCAGATAGCTAAAACTCTCTTGAAAAAGAGCCTTTTTTGAAATTTGTAGATGGACACAATACCTTTATTTTATTTATTTATTTTTAAGTGGTGCTGAGGATCAAACTCAGTGCCTCATGAAGGCTAGGCAAGTGCTCTATCACTAAGCTACAACTGCAGCCCCTAAAGATAATCTTTCAAAAAAAAGAAAAAGAACAGTTGTGGTTGAAATGGAGAGAGAAGTGGGTGTGTCATGCGAAAAGAATCAAGAAAAGCCAGGGTCATGTAAAGCAAGACTTCTTAGTAATGTTAGGAATTTTCCTTTTTTTTTTTTTTTTCCAATCCTAAGAGTAATGGGAAAACAATGAAATGTTTTGTGTGGGGCAGGGGGCATAAGCCACTTTGTATTTCAGAGAGCTGTAATTTGCAATACAGATTTTGCATTCTAGAGTGCTTGGAGGGCTAGGGATGTAGCTCAGAGGTACAGCACTTGTTTAGTATGTGAGGCCCTGGTTTGATCCCCAGTCGCGCACACATACACACACACACACACACACACACACACTCTCACACACACACACACACAAGTAGAATGTTTGGTGTGAGAAATAGAAGAAGAGGGGAAGATTCACATGAAATACAGGCTGTAAAAATCAACAGAACTTTGATGATAGCTGATGTTCTTTGTGCCTTCCTTTATTTATTTATTTTTTCTTTCAGGCTTATTGAAGATTTTCTAGTTTATTGGTCCTTTCCATGAGTCAGTCTTGGTATAACTGATCAACTCTATTGTTGTCTTCTAATTCATTAATTGCCACTTTTTTTCTTTCTTAATTCCCTCACAACAGCAGTGTTTTACCTTTGGCTGATGGTCTATTCGGTAGGCAGTCTGCTGGAACTGTCGTATCTCTCGGATAATGTGTGATATCTAACAGGAGGAGAGCAAAACAGCAACAGTAACAGAAGCAGAACAAAGTTATTTCCCTGCAGCACAAAGCACTCTTCTGGGGCTTCTTCCCAAGGGCCCTTCCTCCAGTAGGTGAAGCCCATTTGATGATTTTCTATGCATGGGATTTTCTTATCCTAGGAACTGTATGAGATTCCAACAGCAAGAAGATACTGAATCCAGAACTGGAGGAGCAGCTGGCACCAGGTGGCCACAAGTTTGGGAGAGGGACATGTTGGGTACTACTGCCCATGGGCTCCTTGCTTCTAACTTGGTGCTCAGAATCTGATTGTCTAACAAGAAGCCTTCAGCATCTGCTTACCATGGGTCAGTCTTAGAAAGTCATCCTTGAAATTGTATTCCTCATCCCCTTGACCCAGATAGCAGATATTTGCTGTTGGCTAAAAATCTCAATTAGCCAACAGCAAATATTAGTCCTAGTCTCCCCATCTCTTCTCCCTTGAGATTAAAAAGCAAACATTGACTTTGTTACCAAGCTTCTACTCTGTAAGCCACTAGAGTCATAAACACAAGCCAGTTATGAAATTGTCACCTACCATTCTCATTTTGGAAAAATTGACAAGGCCTTCTTCGGTAAAGTTGGGTGTTCCTTCTTCAATAAATGCCAAGTCTGTCAAGTACATTCCAAGGTAAGGAACTGCTGGGGGGTTACAACTGCAAGACCAAGAAGTATTTGTTCTCACACTCATTTGCATGAATATCCATCTCCCTCCCCAATTTAAACAGGAAGCAACTAAGCTGCTTCCATCCTGAAGAACAAAGACTTTTTATTGCATTGTCAGATGCACACTCATGATACGCACATTTTAAACAAATTTCACGATAGAATACAATACAAAATTACAGCCCATGCTTTACAAATGTGAGACAATGGCATATCCCAACAACAGGATGACTTAGGGACAAATATAAGATGTTTGCTAGCAGGAATTGTTTGCAGTACTTGTAACTACGTTGTCCATACTTCTTGGAGGGGCAGAAGCATGTGGGAAAACAAACCCCTTTGCTCTCACCTTCCTAGTGGATGAACACCACAAAGAAAATCATTGTGATCAAAGTCTCACACTATAGTAAACTTGTTCTCTGTTTAAGTTAGTACTTCAATATTTTAGAAGGTAGAGACTTAACCAACATTATAGTTACTCACTAAAGGGAGTCACCTGTTTTGTTTTTGGTGGGGAGTGGAATACTTGGTCTCCTGGAAGAGGTCTGAGGCTAAGAATACGGACTTTTGGTGCAGAAAGAACTGGGCTTTGATCCTAGCTGACCAGTTACTCAGTGGCAGTGGGCAAATTCTCTGAACTGTAGTGCCCTCATCTGTAAGATGAAGACAGAAAAGCTTACCTCTTAAATTTGTTGTGAGATTTAAATAAGATGCGTCAAGGGGCTGGGGCTGTAGCTCAGTGGTAGAGCACTTGCTTAGTATGTGTGAGGCACTGGGTTCAACCCTCAGCACCACATAAAAATGAAATAAATAAAATAAAGATATTGTGACTATCTATAGCTAAAAAATATTTTTTAAAAAAGATGTGTCAAGTACTCAGCATGGAGCCTGTCTTTCAGTAAACATCCAGTAAATAATTCTTATCCTATTATTGTTGCTGTTACTATTGTTGTTGTTATCACTATTACGCTTTCTTTCACTCATACCATCACAAGACTAATGTTTTTCCAGAGTGAGTCAAGTTCATGTGCTACAACTTGAGAAAACTAGTTGCAAGAGAATATATTCTATGGTGTGTGTGTGTGTGTGTGTGTGTATGTGTGTGTGTATGTGTGTGGAGAGAGAGAGAGAGAGAGAGAGAGAGAGAGAGAGAGAGAGAGAGAGAGATCCAGAAATAAAGGGCCAAAAATAAATAACAATAATCACATGTGCTGGAATATTTAAATTTTAAAAAATCACAGGAAATCGTTGTACTTAGATTAGAAAATACTGACTCAAGAAACTTTTTACAGTAACACTTTCTTCTTACTTGGAACAATCTGCATACCATGAGTACATCTGTAAGATCCTCACTATATTCACAGTGTTCCAAGTGAAAAGGAAAAATCCAAAATACTAAAGACAATGGAAGTCATTTTCTGTTTGCTTTTCTCTTCCAGCAATGAAGGAGGTGGGTCACCACTCATAAACTTTTAGAAATTAGGTAAACATATTTATAAATTGTGAATGACTTAAGATAGACATACTTTTTAAGGGTTTCTCTGAGATTTTTAAACCTTCCTTCAGATGAAACCGTCTTCTGAAGTTTGTCCATTAGAGCTTTCGTCTAAAACAAAAAGAAAAAACTTAGTTTGTCATGAGAATCTCATGGCTTCATAAGATACTGTTTTTAGTCAGCCTTTTCACTTCTGTGACCAAAATACCTGAGAACAATTTTAGAGGAGGAAAAGTTTATTTGGGGGCTCACAGTTTCAGAGGTCTCAGTCCATAGATGGCTGACTCCACTCCTTAGGGCCCAAAGTGAGGCAGAACATCATGACAGAACAGTGTGGCAGAGGAAGGCAGCTCAGGACATCACACCGGGAGCAGAGAGAGAGAGACTCCCCTCACCATGGACAAAATACAAAGCCCCAATGGGCCCTCAATGACTCACCTCCTCTAGCCACACCCTACCTGTATAGTTACTGCTTACTTAATCCCTATTAGCAGATTAATGCATTGACTAGGTTAAGGCTCTCTTAACCCAATTATTTCACCTCTAAACTTTCTTGCATTGTCTCACACATGAGCTTTTGGGAGACACCTAATATTTAAACCACAACAGATAGTGAGCTGCCAGCTCTCTTCTACAGAGGCAGGTGCTGAAACCTTCACCAGAACAAAGGTCATCGTGTAATATGATTTCAATGCAGAGGCAGGGCACAATGTTGGCATGATTAAAAGAAAAAAGAACAACTTGGGGAGAAGAGCAAGTGCTTCTCTGCACACATTTAGCCATAAAGAAAGAAAAGTGTTTAGAAAAGAAAAATTGTAATGCACAGAAAATTAAAGAACTTGAAGAACTGGAAAAGCATGTGTAGAACATAGAATATTAAAGGAAAGGTCTCATGTCAGGGAGTTTTCACACGAATCTTTTTTGTATTAATCTCTAAACGATCAAAGTGCATATTTGGTTGCTTTGGCATTGACTGAGCAATATCTTCTGCTCTAAATTCTTTGTTTTATGATAATTATCATCAATTTGTTAAAAAAAGTATAACATATATTTACTAAGAAAGCATATGGTTGTTGATATTGGTCTGGAGTTTCTTCCATGGTAAGGTGGCCTTTGGGGATAAGAACCTGTTTCTGGTGATACTCACACCCAGGCTGCCTGGCTGAGCCCTGATGCCTCAGATCCTACTGGGTAAAGCAACTGGCAAGCCCAAAGCAAAGCTGCTCTCCCCCTGAGCCTCAGCCTAGAAAGGAGTTGCACAGTTCCTAGTAGCTTTCAGAATAATGCCAACAGTTCCCCCATCTTGGTTTCTGAAGGCTCTGGGAGGCCTCTTTCTTGGCCCAAGGATGGCCTTAGCTCAAAGAAGTTGCAGAAGTACAGTCTGTTCCACCTCCAGGTAGAGGGCTCCAGACTGCAGATTCCACCAGGCCTTCTGGATCCCCTGGACAGATTTGAAGGGACAGCTGCAGAACAGATGGTGCACCCAATTGCCTGAAGCAGACATATCCGCAACTAGGCCCAGAGTGAGGTGCTCTGCCACAGACACAGCCTCTTGGGAGGACAGTACATCAACTCGTGCCAAGGTCACCAGGGGTGACTCACACATGTGGTTGAAATAGTGTAATCTATTTAATGCCTCCTCAGGTGTTACATCAAAATTTGAAACAGATTTAATATTAGCCTATCATCCCTATCCCTTGGTTATCCCTAAATTTGCATCCTCTCAAAGTCAACTATAGAGAAGCCTGGAAGCTATCTTAAAGTTTGGTGATTCCTTGGTGCCAGTTTCAAAGGAATAAAGAAACAGGGAAGAGAAGGAAAAGGAAGGCTGAGGCGTGACTTACTGACCCTAATGAAGTGCTGCCAAGTGTGTGACAGGATGATACGCTCTGTTCAGCCAACACCTGATCCTTGAAGGCAAAATAGCCACTACACTGGGGTTGGTGTCCAGCTTTTGGGTTCTCACATAAATGGTTTTTTTTCCCCTCCTTTGGTACTGAGAACTGAACTCAGGAGCACTCAACTACTGAGCCACATCCCCAGCCCTATTTTGTATTTTTCGTTTAAAGACAGGGTCTCACTGAGTTGCTGAGGCTAGCTTTGAACGTGCGATCCTCCTGCCTCAGCCTTCTGAGCCACTGGGATAAGTGTTTAAAGTCCACTTAAAAAATAGCATTCTGATTCCCACTAATTATAAAAACTCTCAGAAAACTAGGGAAAGACGACTGCTTCCTTCATTTTATAAAAAGCATTTACAAAACAAAACAAAACACTGGATTACCAGGTTGGATGGTGAAAGACTGAAAGCTCTGCCCCCAAGATTGAGAACAAGGTAAGGATGTCCTTTCTTGCCTCTCTCTAGTCAATGCAATATTAGAAGTATCAGAACAACAAGGCAAAATAAAATAAAATAAAATAAAAGGCATATAAATTAAGAAAGAAACGACTGTTCCTATTTATAAATCACATAATTGTCTATGTAAAAAATTCCAAGAAGTCTACAACAAAACCTTCTGGAACTATTAAGTGAGGTTATCATGATAGATAGAAGTCAATGTAAAAAATCAGATTATATTTCTACATACTAGCTTTCATTGAAGAGGATATACAGATGGCAAAAAAGCACATGGAAAGAAATTTAACATCATGAACCATTAAAAAGTGCACATTTTTTGTCACAGTGAGCTATCAGTGTGACTAGATTTTTTAAAAAATGATAATATCAAATGCTAGCAAGAATGTAGAGAACCTGGATCACTCATACATTTCTGATAGGAGTGTAAAACAGTACAGCCACTCTGGAAAAGTTTGGCAGTTTCTTATAAAACTAAATACACACTAATCAGCAATTGCACTCTTGGACATTTATCCCAGAGAAATGAAAACTGATGTTCACACGAATGTCAGTAAAGGGGGCAGAGAGAGAAGAGGGGAGGGGAGGGGAGGGGGGGGGAGGGGGGATAGTAGAGGATAGGAAAGACAGCAGAATACAACAGACACTAGTATGGCAATATGTAAATCAATGGATGTGTAACTGACGTGATTCTGCAATCTGTATATGGGGTAAAAATGGGAGCTCATAACCCACTTGAATCAAATTGTGAAATATGATATATCAAGAACTATGTAATGTTTTGAACAGCCAACAATAAAAAATTATAAAAAAAAAAAAAAACCTTTATGTGAATGTTCATAGTAGTTTTATTCATAATAGCCCTGATCTAGAAACTACTCAAGTGTCCTTCAAGGAGTGAATGGTGAAACAAAATGTGGTATATTATATCCATACCATGGAATACTACTCAGCAATAAAAGAGAATACAGTATTGATACAGGTAATAACTTAAATGGAGCTCAAGAGAATTATGCTGAGTTAAAAAAAGCAAATCTCAAAATGTCACATACTCTATGATTCCATTTATATACAGTTCTTGAAATGACAGAATTATAGAGATGGAAAACAGATTAGTGATTGCTAAAAGTCAGGGAATGGGCCTGGAAGTAAGGTGATTATGGCTATTGAAGCATGGCACAAGAGACCTTTGTAATGGAACTACATACGCTGTATCCTGACTGGGGTTGTGGTCATGCTAATCTACCCTTGTAATAAAAGTACATAGAATAAATACCCCTCCACACACAAAGACATGAAAAGCTGGTGAGTCCTGAGTAAGATTGGTGGATTGTACCAATGTTCACTCATTTCCTGGTTGTGATTTTGTCTACAGATATAAAAAGGTTGTCACTGGGGGAAAGTGGGAGCAATGTGTAGGACATATCTATATTATCTTACAACTGCGAGTGAAGTTACAATCATCCCTGAATAAGAAACTTTAAAAATAGTATTTTTAAACCATGGCTTTTATTTCACAAAGTCCAGCCTTTGCTCTAATAAAACAGACTTGTGAGCTCTAAGAGATCAAGATTCTCAGAGCTCTGTGCTTTTCCTGAGGAATAAGCAAGGGTGGATGAAGACTCTGACTTAGGCTTGGTGTCCAGCCATGTAGAGAAGTTGCAGCATCTCCTATATCAAAGGAAAGGCTTGGAGAGAGAAGCCAAAACAGAGAGGAGTGAGAATCGTCAGGAAGCTTCTTTTTACATGCTTAAATAATTCAGAAAACAACTCTGGACTGAAAGACCTGAGGACATCTCAGCAGAATGTAGTTATGCTCTTCTTCCAGTCTGGTTCCCCAGAGATGGCACCATGTAGATGCCCTTCGCCAACGTTGGTGGGCACATCCAGGTAGGTGGGGTGTTGGGGTAGGCGAGGCAGAGAGCACCTGATAAAGACCCTCCTACCCACGGGCACCAATGCAGGATGGAAGAGACTAGAAAATTCTCCCAAGGCCCTTTGGTAGTCATGAAGAATGCACACATCCAACAGGAGTCACCAAGGGGCGCCAGCCTGAGAGACAGAGGCTCACAGCATCAGCTGAGTCAATGAGAGCTGAAGCAGGGCGGGATCAGCGCAGGGTGGTTCCTGGGCAGGGTGAGCAAGTACCCAGGGACCAATCAGTAAAGGACTAATAGGAAGCCAGGGGTACAGAGAACCTTCCAGAAGCCCAGAGAAGCCCTCCCAATACCTAGCAATACCCAGGCAGAAACCCAGATGAAAAAAAGCAGGGAAGAATTGTGATTTGGTTTGAATCTTGAAACTATCTGAATGAAAACAACAGTCCAGGGGCAGGTAGAACCCAATAAAAAAAATTTAAGAAAGTTATGTTTGTGCACATCTAAGTCATTTTGCCAAAACTTTAAGTCTGCTACATGAATGACAAAGAAAAAGGTGAGCCCTGAGGTCTTTTGGCCCTAAGACATCTGTGTCCCTACCTTGGGGGGAAAAGAATGAATCCATTGGTCATCGCCTGAAATGAGGGTGCCCTCCTGAAATCATTGGGAAAGCAACTCTTGACTGTCACATTGTTTGAGGCTGTACCCCCACCCCAAATGTTTTAATGAATGTTTTGGAAATGCACATGAGTGGAATTAATTAAGTGGTAAGAGCACGGTAATTACCCATGTTGGCACCTTTCTTTGGCAACTATGCTGCTCATCTCAGCTAATGATTTCCTAATTAGTAATATTTATCTTGGCTCTCGTCTCCAGCCTCTCCTCCTCTCAGCAGCAGTCTGTGTCGCACTCGGATGCTCACCTGCTTGGACACCTTGGCCCAGGTTTTCTTCAGCCTGTAGATGGCACTTCTGTTTAAGGCCGAGGTGATCTCCAGCACGCCATTGTAGTTGTGCAGGCATCTGCAAATGTCCGCCACTGCCACCCACTTCTCGATGGCGTTGGCACGGGAGCTGACATCAGCGTAATTCATTATCTGGGAGGCCACCAGGTTACTCATCTGAGACAAGCAAAAAGTCAGAAAGGCTGTCTAAGAACTAGAGAAGTGCATACAGGAAAGGAGGGTGTCCTACGGTGTGGAGATCCATTCCATCTTTGGATACTGACTTTCTAAGAATGCACATATCCAATAGGGGTCACCCTGTTTCTAAGGAAACTGATGTCTGTGTAATAATAACATTAAACTGCTGAGCATCCGGTCACCCTTAGAGTGTGCAGAAGGATTCTTTAGAATCTAGTTTGTTGGGGGGAAAAGCGATTTTATGAATCAGGGATTTTGATGAAGGAAAGAATAATCTAACTCCTGAGGAAAGGCAATGTTTGTAGATCAGGGATGTCACTCCTTGGAAACACATACTCCTTGTCCCCAGCAGCAGGATGCCTCAGATATTACAGGGAAATTAAAAACACTCACCCCTAGTCAGACCAAATTCTGAACTGATCAACTCTCCAACCAGAAACTCTTAGTTGCAGAGGAAGAGAGAACATTTTCTCCTTCTTATGATTTTTTCACTGGCATTTTAAAGAGCTTATGGCCTCGGGGCTAAATATTGTCATTCTGCTAGAGAAAGCCAGCTTAAGAAGCTCAACTGTTGCAATATGGAGAGGAAAAGGGAAAAATAGGATTACTAACAAAGGGGACATGGGCTGTGGAATCTTGCATTGATACACTAAATCTGGTGGGGAACTCCATTCTTGCATGATTCCGAAGGTCTGTAAGCTCTACCAGTGCCCCAGAGTCATCACTGTGACATTCACTAAAGCACCTACTGTGGTGCAACTTATTGAGCATCTGTTCATCCTCAGAGTGGTGAGAGGGGTGGTCTGGAATCCAGTCTGCAGGGGGAACAGGTGATTTTGTTAATCAATAGTTTCGGTGAAGAAATCATTGCCAGTAATTACTGAGCAAATGGATGGAAGTAGTCTTAGGTGTAGAGAACAGAAGAAAAAGAACTAAGTGTCCCTGACTCAATGTTAAGGGTTTGGTCCCTAGGGTGGTGCTATTGGACAGTGCTGTGGACCTCCAGGAGGAAGGGCCTTGTGTGAGGTCCCTAGGTTGCTGGAGGCCTACCTTAGAAAGGGATGCAGTAACCAAGCCCCTCCCTCCTCCATTCATTTGCATCCTGGCCATGGGACAGCCACTTGCTCTGACACATGCTCCCTGCCACTGCTATCTGCAATGTGCACCAGAGGTCCAAAGCAATGGGACTGCCTGACCTTGGATTACAGGCTCCAAAACTGGGAGACAAAGTAAACCTTTTTTTCATTATGAGTTAATTATCTTGAGTATTTTATTATAGAAATATCTGACTAACACACCAACCTTAAGGCACTCTGAACCTAGTTAGGTGGGATGGGAAGGGGAGGAAGATGTGTGGACAAGTAAATGCCACAAAGAGAAATGTGAAACTATGTCTAGGCATGGAGGGGACTGGGAACATGGAGATAGAATGGGGATCTGGTCTAGTTCAGGGGAGGATGCTGGAAACAGGTCATGCCTACATTGCATCTTGAAAGATGAGGATGACTATCCTCTGTTTCCCATCAAAATAGAAGAGCAAAGGGCCAGTGGTGGAAGGCATGGCATCACTGAGGACCTGGCTGCCCTCTGAGGAGCTTAGGGGGATGGAGACACAAGGATGACAGATGGGCAGGCTCTTGCACACCAGGTTGAGGAGTTGAGACCATCTCCTGAAGGTGAGGGCAAGCCCCTCACAGATTTTGCCAAAGAGAGCAACCTAATTAGATTGACCTTTCAGAGGAGTCATTCCTAGGGCATGGCACATGGAATACATCAGGGCACAGTGACTCAGGTGGGAAGAGAGGAGCCAGAAGCTCCAGGAGCAAAAGGATGAAGTCAAATCCAGGTTGTGGCAATGGGGGAGGAGGGGTGAGGAAGGGTCTGAGACGCAGGTAGATTTAGGGCTCAGGAAGATGTTGGGGGAGATGGTAAGAGAGAGGTGAGTGAAGGAAAAGGAGACAGAGACGACCTCTAGATCCAGAGTTTGGGGGAGCAAATATATGGAGAGGCCATCAACCAACACTGTGAAGAAGCTGCAGAGACAGGCTTGGCAAGGGGGGGGGGGTGCATATGGCGGGTTCCATCTGCACCATGCAGAGGTCATCAAGGAGGAAGAGATATGTGGGTCTGGAGCCTGAGATGCGCCTCTGATAGGAGTGTCAGGTATATTGCAGATGTATGTACAACTCAGGTAACGAAGCTTTATTTTCCATAGCCAGACCCTGCTTCTCAAAGTGACCCAGATAAGTCAGGCACCCTGCCCTTTAGCACCAGTGGCAGGGAAGCCCATTATGTGACAGCATTCCCTAAGCATCAGTGCTCTCTGAATATACCCTGTGCAGAGCACTGCCTTGGGAATCTATACTGTTTTTATATTTTAATTTTGGATGACTTATTAATGTACCTGTGGGGTTCCTTGTGTTTTTAAACACCATCATTATTCCTTTTACCGTAGTTCAGTGCAACTGGAAAGGAAGTTTTCCCTTTGTTTGAACAGAATGAAAGACACTTCCACATCTGTTACTACTTTTCCCACAGGACTAAAGGCTATTAGAACAGAACCAACTAAGAGTTGGTGGGCACAAAAGCCATTCCCAGTCTCATGGCTGGAGAAAGGCCGAGCTGAGAGCAGCAGCTGGCACCACTGCACAGAGCCCAGCAGCAATGTGATCGTGTTCTAAGATGGCACTTCCCATGCTGGAATGCGATTTGGGCTGAATATTCCAAGATGATGATGAGGAGTTACACAATCCAATCTTACTGTCACCATCACCACCAGGGGCCAGTGACACAGGCACTGCTGGTTTTGTCAGTCAATATATGATCTATCTGGAAGCTACAAGGATTACCATAAAAATAATAACAGCAACTTAAACAATATTGACTGCTTCCCATCAAAATTGAACCTGTTATGCCAGGAGATTACTAGAAATCATCACATCACTACGAGATGTTAGGGGATATTTAAGTTTGTCTTTGAAGTCCATCAGTTCTGTTTTAAAAGTCAGTGGCAGAGTTTGTTTTTAGAGAAGGAGTCGGAAGACCCTGGTACTCATCTTCCTGTAACGTGCCCAAGGTTTTATTTTCATGGTTACTCACATCATTAAAGTGTTGGCTGTTTTTCATAATGTAAGGTGTTCTTTCATTTTTATCCAGCTTCATCCATCCCTGCCCAAGAAACTCTCTGAAATTTCAAAACAAAACACAAAACCAATTTAAGTTTTTTAAGAGACAATGGCTATGATCCTGCATAACTATCATGCATATGAGATACACTACATTGACATCGCCTGCAACATTCCTTGAGGCCCACCTGCAGCTACCGACCATCTCTAATGAATTGTAGCTCAACTCCAGTATTTCACTACTCCATGACAAAAAAGAAACAGGTTTTTCAGTCTCCAGTTTTCTCTTGCAAATGTTTGGAACTTTGTTCCTGTAAAGGCTTTTCTGAAGTTGGAAAATTACCACCAACATGAGAGAAATAAAGAAGTTAAGTACTAACTCAGAAACCAACACTGTTTTCCCTGGATTAGTTTCTCAAAATGTTAAACCTTAGCAGAGGCACCAAAAAAAAAAAATAAAATAAAATAAAATAAATCTATGACTGCCAAAAATGTTAATCAAGGACAGAACTTTTTCTTTCCCTTTGCTGTGAAATTCTCTAAAAAACACAGGTTCCAAAGGCAGGGACTTTATTTTATCCTCCCAAGAGCTCAGAGCAGCACACATTTGAGGAGCCAAATAAATGCTCCCTGTTGCCACTTTTGCAGCACAGTTGCCTGATCAAGGCAGTTCAGTTGCATGAAAGCTCAGTCTGGTTTCTGGACAGCGTCCCTGCTCATTCACTGCATTCAGGAACAATGAATGGGCAGGAACAATCAAGATGGAGCACAGGGAATTATTTTGTATGGGCATTAAAAAATAAACTCGGACACATTCCCAGTACAGAAATGTTGACTGAATCCTTGTGCAAGTTTCTTTGTCCCTTGCTGTTGTTGATACTGCTCCTGTCCTGTAGTGTTGGTTATAAAGGTGTGCCAGGCCCATGGATGGAAATAATTGGTTGACATTCACACAGAGGAGACACACCAAGAGCCACCACCAAAGTTTTGGCATTGATTATTCTCTTCCTCCACAAGTCATGTCCCCTGCCTTGATGCACTGGAGTATAGTGAAGAAGTGAGGGGGCAGCAGAGGAAGTGACCCTGTGGTTCCTACATCAGGTTTTCAGCTTGCCATCAGATTCATTTAAACAGCCAGTGAGCTACATTCCTGTTTCATTTTTATTTTTTCATATTCATGTATAGGTCTATGTACTGGAGCAGGGAGGGGTAAAAGATAAAATGCATTAAGGAAAAGTCTTTGGGACATCCATTTGCTCTTTCCTTCATGCCTCTAGCCCATCTACCCTGTCCACACCCAACCCTCGACCAGCACAGATGTTCTCTCTTCCACATACGACATGGGTCACATTCCTGGCTCTTATCACCTCCAACATAGTTACTAGTTCATGGAGCACAAGTGCCAATAGTGTCCGTTTGTTTAGACAAAGGCCTTGCTTTGGGGGATACTGAGTATGACAGCTGGAAGGGGCTTCAAGAGCCCCTCCTGTTCTACACAGGAGGAAACTGTTGTGTGGGTCCGTGGCCATAAGGCTCACAATACTTGTTGATTTATGGAAGTGAGAGAACTATAGCAGAATTTAAAATGTTTACTAGATCACTGTTTTCTCAAAGTAGGGCCTTGGACCACTCAGATTCATATGGGATTCTCATTGAAAAGACAGTTTCCTGGGTCTCAAAACAACCATTACCACCACAAGAACAAGGAATGCTTCTGAAAATGACTTGGTCTAGGAGGATGATAAATACCTAGTAGAATCAGAATTAATTAATAAATAAATACCTAGTAGAATCAGAATTTCTGAGGGAAATATCTAAGAATATTCATTTTTAACAAGCTCAATGATTCTAGGCCCAAAGTCTGAGAACTGTTCTTGTAACTGTATTGAGGTTTCTGTAACTCAAGGCTAGAACACAGCAATTCACATTCTATAGTAACCCCAGTACATATAGAAACACAAGACTAACCATCTGGAGACTCCCCAAATCACTATACCCAATATAAACTGGAACCAAGATACATTCAAATGGGGCCAAATAATCTGAACCTTAAGACTCACACCTCTGAATACACACACACACACACACACACACACACATCAGCCTTAGGACAATTCAGCTTCTAGGCCAGACACTGCAACTGACACTTGGTGCTGCAAGGGGTGCCACTCACTCATAAGGAATGCTTCTGAAAATGACGTGGTCTAGGAGGGTGATCTGCTCAGCCAGCTCCATGGCTGATAAGCTCTCAAAACACTCGGCCTTTGGACAGTCAGTCTGAAAAACATGAAGGAGGGAAGTCAAACATGGGTGGGAACAAGGCTCTCACCATCTCACTGTGGACAGCCCCATCTGTGGAAGTATGAAGTCTGGCACTAGATTCTAGCTAAAAAAGGAATAGCGAAGCCAACATTAATCTCACTGACCAATTGCTAGCCCCTGTGTAGAATGTGGTGCACCGCACAGAGCTTCACAGACAGACGTATGGTCAAACATGGTGATCACCTGCAAGTGCATTGTTTACCTTTGAGAGGCGGTGTGCATATGCCTAAGTTCAATAAACTGTGGCTGAACTTACCATTTGAATTATGTCTTCTAATTTTAGGTGAATGTCATCTTGATCATCTTGTGAAAGGGCCCTAAAAAAATCAAAACATCCCCCATGAAAAAGAAGAAAATAGGCATGCTAGGAATGAAACTGTAAAATGCAGGTTAGTTTTCCCTGGGTGGGAAGTCAGGTTTGGGTCTGCAAGGCTGTGCAGTACAACAGGCTGCTGAGTGGAGGAAATGATGGCAGAAACAGAAAGACACTTGTGAAACGTACAAGAGAAGTATTGGGAGAGGTGATCTAGAATAGGAACCAACCAGCAGAGGCCCCAGCAGCGCCATATTGGGACAGAGCATTTGGAGATTCACCACTTGGGTGGTCCATTTGAGCTACCATGAGGGGGGCCCCAGGAAGAATTTGCCATTTTCAGTGGAAAACAAATGATGCTTATGGTTATGATGACCTTATACTTTGGGCCAACTGCTTAAGAAATAAGGACTCCTAATCCATCCATTTAACAAGATATGAAGAATGTTTTAAGAGGTGCAATCTCTGAAAAATGGATCAAACTCTTGGATTCATAGCATACTAGATATGTTGTAAATAAACTAATAACATAAAAAAAAAGAATAGGAGCCAACTTGTCCTAAACAACTATCAAAGTGAACCCCGAGGTAAGTTGGGTTGGATAATTACCAGATGATTTAGGATGTTAATCCAGGCATGCTGTAATGAGAGAGGAGTGTGCTATTCGCCTGAGCACCCCATCCACACTCCACCAGCACCCGCCCTGTACTCCCTGCTGGTGCTGAGGCAGGAAATGCAGAGCCCCCCCTCAACTTAGGACTTACAGGAGAGTTTCTGTTTGGCAATACTTGGAAAAAGATGGGGCAAGAGCAGGCAGATGACTCTTCACTTTTACTTTCCAGATCTGTATCCCCCACACAGTGTTATTCAGCTCTCTCTACATATCTTTATTTTTGTTAGTAAATGATGAATGAATTAATAACTAATACATAAGTTAATGCCTAAGATACCAAAGTGGGTTGATACTTTATGTCCAACAGAAGTTCAGAATCAGGACTGGGGTTGTGGCTCAGTGGTAGAGCACTTGTCCAGCATGTGTGAGGCACTGGGTTTGATCCTCAGCACCACATATAAATAAATGAGTAAAATAAAGGTCCACCAACATCTAAAAAACATTAAAAAAAAAAAAGTTCAGAATCCAGGATAATCATACCAAGTGGGCATCCAGTTCTCTAATAGGTCATCTGGGGCCAAGCATTTTCAGTTTTCCAAAATGAAAGTATAAGCACATATAAAAAGTATTAAAATATTTAAGCAGTCCCAAACCATGTAGCCTGTCTACTGGAGCATGCTAGGTTTTTTGGGAGAGGAGAGGAAAGCTTAAAAAACCACAGACACGTTATTATTTTTCAGATATGGAGTCAGAAGTCTAAACCAGGTCAAGCAAGCTGCATTCCCTCTGGAGGCCCTGGAGAAGAACCCAAGTGCTTGCTTCCAGCTTTAGAGGCTGCCTGATTTCCTTGGAAGATGCAAGTTTTAAAAGAAATAATGATGTGATATTCTGCTTGTTCATAGTTGATGGAAATAAAATCCACCAATCCTCAATTATACCAAGCCAACAGAGATGGTTTACTGTATGCCCACTACATGCCAGACACATGCCAAGTGTTTGATGTGCTACACCATAATCAATCCCTTCTAACCAGGCAGTATCTCCATTTTACAGATGAGGAAACAAAAGCCAAAGAAACTTACTGACCCAGGGTTCCAGTCCAGCTGTGTTCTCCTCTTACTCAATGATTCCCATTCTCAGACTCACGGAAGGCCTCCTCCAACATCCCACAAAGAAGATAACCAATAAATGCCAATCCTGTCCCTCTACCTTCCTTTCCTCTTTCAAAATCCTTCACAGAGAATCCTAGATTACAAGAGTCTCAGCAATGAGCCATATATTTGTGAGCAGAAAGAATCATTGTAAAGTAGAAGGCAGACCATGAGGAAAAACTGAATTAAACATGGTTCTTTCTCCAAAAACTATTCAATTGCATTTGAAGGTTACACAGAGGAGAAGAATGTGACTCTTTCCCAAGGTACACAACATTCTTTCCACTATATGTTAGATTCTGGAGGGAGGTCTGTGGACCCACTACATGTGACAGTGGGAAAGACATTTTTATGAGCTTGGACAATCTTTCTTTTGGGGAAAAAAAAATGGTCAGGAAGTTACCTCCTCTCTAGTGTTGCTCTTCTCCATTATCTTATGCTGATATCTAAGACACACTTTGGTTCATTAAGCTATTTGAAATTTTCTGTCTTCCTATGGGTGCTATTTGGGATGCTAAGGTTTGGGGGTGATCTTTTCATGACCTGAGCTTATCATGGTTGACCTTCCAGGATGTTTATCATCAACTCATTTGGTGGCATGTTAGATGTCTACAAAACTCTACATTGAATACATTTGGAAGATTTTTGAATAAATGGTTAGCTAGACAACTTTGAAATGCAAAAGTCTTAAGCAGATGTTTTCATTCTCAAACAGGTAGACAGACTTATAGAAATTATGTTCACTCGCCATTAAGTAAGCCCCAAGAGACTGAGAGTAAGGGATGGCTTATGTCAGAGTACTAATGCAATATGTTTAAGTACATGCTTTGTGTTTACAACTCACTGATATGTGACTGTGATGCATATACATCTCTAATGTGAGTGCTACATTCAACTACAACGTATTACACTTTTACCTCTCACAGCATAAACTGATTTTGCTTTTGTTCCAAATTGTTCCCTTTCAGATGTGGAGGCCTCTACATCTATGGTCCAGGCCCTACAGAGGAGACACAGCTCAGCTCCTAACTATCTTTGGGTTTTGATCAACATCCAGGATCCTGGGTTCCCCCACATCTATCAGCAGTATGATTAGTCTAAGAATTGTGCATTTAAGATGAAACACCAAATAAACTCAGAAAGAAATGCATGAAAAATCCATTCTTCAAGGATGAAAATATAGGTAGTCCAAAACAGAGCCAAGAGTGTCCTGATATGAGTCCACTCTCTCTTTGTGTAGACAAGGTGATGAAACCTAAGGAAAGTTGAGTCTGACTAAGATTTAGTCATATTTCACTTGGGCTATCCCACCTGCATGACAAAAAAGTATTTCTTCCAAGAGCTCTCAGTGTTTCTAATAATAATGATAATAGCAACAACAACAACAATAACAAATAGTAACAATAATAATTGCTGTAAAATGAGTTAATCTTTTATGCCATGTAGTCTTCATAACAACCCAATGGGATAATTATCACTAGCCCTATTTTATAAATGAGGAAACTGGGGTTCAGACTAGTTAAGACACTTGAAACCGTTAAGGGCCTAAGCCAAGATTTAACACTGAAAGATCCCACAAAAGTCAGAATTAGGCTCTGCTCAGTGTTGTACTCCCAGACTGTAGGTCTGCTAAAATGTCTATTCCCTCTGGCTTTACACTTCTAGTTCTCAGTTTGTTATTCAGCAAAGAGAACTAGTGCATACTAGGCTTGATGAATAACAATGAACTGGGTTGGTAAATAGGATTCATATCAAGTACTAACCCCAGTTCACTGGTTTCTGAGGTTGCCTCTGGGAGTAGAGAGAAAACTCCCAGGATCGATTAGTAATGCCTGGCACTTGGCAGCAGTATCTCCAGGGACTGAGGACAGGAGTGCTCATGTTGGCAATCCTGACAGTTGTTCCCAGTCCAAACACCTTCATTTCCCTGACAGCTATTTAGTCGAATGTCTCTAGGAGCATAAACTTCCAGAAGGTAATTTCAAAATGTCAGTGTTTTAAAGCACAAAGAGCATAACCAATTGTTAACATGAAGGGAAAGGGAAGAGCAGTCACTCCCAGACATAATCACTACCCTCAGGACCAGACTTACCTCAATACATGTGTATAATTTTAAAATCTGAACATCGACTCAGTAACTGAACCCCTAAGCTTACCTGGATGCTTTCATAACATGAAAAAAACTAAGGAAGTCTTTAAGTATATGCTTAAGTACATGCTTTGTGTTTACAACTCACTGATACGTAACCGTGATGCATAGACATCTTAGAGTTTTCTAGAGCTGTCCTAACAAACTATCTTAAAGTGGTTGGCTTAAAATGGCAGACATGGACAGCCTAGTCTCACAGTTCTGGATAGAAGCCTGAGTGCCAGGACGTGCTGTCCCTGAAACCTGTAGGGGAGTCTGTCCTTCCTTTCCTTGCCCAGGCTTCGGGTGGTCTGCCAGCAATCTGCAGCTGCACAGTTCCACCGTAACCTCCATCTACACACAGTGCTCTCCCTGTGTCTCTCAGTCTTCCACGGCTGTCTTCTTATAAGGACAATGGTCATAGTAAATCAGGGGCCCACACTACTGCCCTATGACTTTGAATTGACTGATCACTTCTGCCGTGGTCTTATCACCACACAGAGTCACATCTTGAGGTATCAGAGATTAGAAATTAAACATACCTTTTTTTTTTTTTTTTTTTTTTTTGGTGGGGAGGCACAACATCCCCTACACCAAAGAATTGTCTGCTATGGGATCTTCAGCTAATGGGAACCAAGAATAATTTAGAGGCTGGTTGCAAACACATCACAACCCAAAATCTGGTATTGCTACATCAAGGAGGGACTTGTAAAAATATGGTAGGCTGAGCTAAGATGGGCTCTCCTCCACACACAAGCTTTCCGGATAATATGTTAACAACAAAAACAAAAACAAAAACAAAGAAAAAGACAATGTAGCCATACTTTGAAGAGAGAAGAGAGAAAAGACCATTTCCAGAGACTGTAAGAAGGAACTAGAAATCAGAATGGTAAAGAAATACCAGGTACTAGAAGATAGATGGCAGACTTCCCACTCTGAAGGAGGGATGGGAGACGTAGCCTAGAGTATCTGGGAGGCTGTAACTGAAATGTCTGCACAAAGCCATTGATGTCTGCACTCTTAATGTAGAGAAGACTAGAAGGAAACCACCTACTCACTCAAGAAGCCATTAGAAAGCTTGTCAGCCCCTTGGACTCTGAGTGTAACAACTACAGACACACCCAAGTTTCTAGTGTGAAACTCCAGCCTTGATCACATAGATGTGTGAGTTCATGCTCTACACAAACTCACATGGCTATACAACCCACCTGATGTGGAAATCCTAAGCCAAGAAGTTGGCAGAAAATTGTCCTAGGACCAGTGGAATATGCTAAAATAAAACATGTATCTACTCCGTGGTGGCTCATCCACAACACAGGTGCCCAAGGCTCCCCCAGAAACACCACCATTACACCCATAAACGGATGCTAACCCCCAAAGAGTTAGAACCCACAGAAAACTTTCTCTGCAACACCTCCTGGACTCACAAGTAGGGATCCTTAAGGCTTTCTTCCTTTCAGTTTTGGGTCTACAGTGAACCATCTGCCCACACAAAGAAGAGCAACAGCACTCCACATGGGTTATGTCGCCCACCCACAGTCACCCTGAGACAGCAGGCCCCGTACTTGTCCCCAAGAAGGAAAAGATGATAGGTAATACTTTACCAGTAAGGACACAATCCCTGCTGCCCCCAGGATTCTACGATTCATGCTTCTGGTTTGGCAGAATCTTATTTTCTATGAACATAGCATGAATCAGCCAATGTACTTCAGTCAGCACCTGCAATTGCCTTTACCTCAGGATATTGGCTGTGGCTTTCCTTTCCTGGGGAAGAAGGTCTGGGTCTCGTAAGACTTCTTCTAGCAAATTTAGGACATTCATCTTTAGTTCGTTGTTGAGTTCAAAATCCTATAAAATAAAATGAATCTTTTTAAATTTCAGTTTTGAAGGGTTTAGCTCTGTGGTGTTTGGCACCATTCTTCATGATAAGTCCTCTAGAAGCTAGGTATGAAGGTTAAAATGTAGGGACCCTGGAGTCCCCACCCCCACTTAACCCCAAAGATCCCCGCTGAAGTGGTTTGGGATGGAGCACCTTGCTGGTATTTTTGAAGAGCTCCCCAGGGGATGCAAATGTGCAGCCCAAGGCTGAGAACCACAGCTCTTGGGACAGCGACTGAGACCCAACCAACTGCCCTGGCTCTGTCTCCCCCCCCCCCACCCCCACCTCCAACACCTACCCAAACAGCACACACGTACTCGCACTCACTATCCTAGACTTTAAAACTCCCTCAGCTCCTCAGAAAGATATGTGCTTTCCTAGTCTGGAACACACTCTGCATGGGTGCATCTTTCAGGCCTCAGAGGTAATACACATTCTCCCTGGAATCTTCCTTAAATGACCCAGAAGGGTTGGGAGCTTTTCTTTTTTGCTCCCATGGAACATGTTACTTATAATTTATCATCATGCATTGTAAGGGCCAATTTAATTGCCTAGTTTTCCCTTGGACCATGAGTAAGATCAGCAGCTAAAACAAAGCCATAACTAAAAACAAACAAACAAACAACAACAAAAAGAAAAGAAAGAAATTTGTTTGTGAGAATTACATCTGTCGTTTGGGTGATTACTGAATGAAGATAAGCTAAGGCTATCAATATCTGTATCTATGTCTGTATCCATCCAGATATGCTAAAGGTTAAATAATAAATGATACATGATACTCATAAGCCAATGGGGCTATGTGAAACAAACACAGGAGTGAGATGGAAGGGACACTCAATGGGCAGAGTTGCAACAATGTGAGCATCAAAGTAAATAATGAGAATGATGATAACCAAGTGAATAAAAAAGCCTGCAAACCCTTACTGAAACTTACAAAGATAAATTCATAAATAGATTAAACACACACACACACACACACACACACACACATACACGTATGTACCTAAAAGGGCAGAAGGTAAAACTATTCTTTATAATAGAATTCCAAGTAATAAATGCAAAGGAATAAAACACCATTTTCAACCAAATCAGTAATAACTGATTCTGGCAAGGACCATGAATGGATGCTAAAATGGCTGGATAAATGCACTGAGGAATACAACTGAGAGTCTCAAGATCGCCCCAGAGATCAATTATTAACTACAAAGGGATAGTCTGGCAGATTTTGCCTTAACCAAGGGATCAATGTTGCCAACCCCAACTGTGGAACAGACTGATATTATGTGCCTACCAATGTAATGCTTAATATCTTACATCACGTCCTTAGTGTTGTATTTCTACCAAGATATATAATATTACAAATACAAAATACTTGGTATTTCTACCAAAAATGCATAATCTCAATCTAATTGGGAGCAAGCACTGACTGTATTTTTCAAAACTGTTAGTGTCTTTAAAGATGAGGAAAAACTAAGGAACTATAGGAAAAACTAAGGAACTATTGCCCTTAAAAAGACATCAAAGTTCAATAGTTAAATGCAATGGGTGAACCTGAGTTAGACCTAGGGTCAAGGAGGAAATACTACCCAAAGGCAGAACTGTGACAACTGACAAAATTGAATTGGGAATTCACTAGTTGAGAGCATGTACCAATGTCAAAGTTTCCTGGATTTGATCATTTTGCTGTCAACTATGTGCAAGTCGTGACTTGGTCATGTGGACTGGCAGAGGTGGGATGGAGAAAGAGAATAAATGTAAACGTATCAGTGAACAGCGATTCTTGATGTGTTGCAGTGTACTTGATTTTTTTATGGCAATTTTTCTCTTGGTTTGAAATTGTTTAAGTTAAAATGTTGGGGAAAACTAAAAAGGTAGTGTTGTAGCTCTTGCCACAACTTTTATTAAACATATTCTTATGAAGCATCGCCAGGTATCATACTGGACCGTAACATATTCAGGGATGAGTGAGTTCCGCATCTTGCATCCCAGGATCAGATTCTGATAGATGTACAGGCATAACTGTTTATGTTCCCTCATATAAAATTTGCCATAGATATTATAATACACTTATTATATAATTACATTATTATATTGACTTATTACAAGTTATTATAATTACATCTTAATGTGAAGAAAAGTAATTTTGAAACACTGATATTCTGAATTCTTTTAAAAGGTCGGAGAGAACATTGCTAATTGCAATGAATCAGATTTTTTAAAACAGTGTAATTTTACTACATTTTGTAATTAGGGGCAAAATGTCCATAATTTCACAAATTGTAGACAACACAAGAGTCTAACCTAATTTGAATTAAGTATTTTTGCATCTTAGTTTGATGGAAAACTGTATAATGTTATTCTCAATATTTCACTTTCATGCTGGGTGTGGTGGTGCATGCCTACAGTCTTGGAGACTTGGGAGGCTAAGGTAGGAGGATTACAAGTTCAAAGCCACCTCAGCAACTTAGCAAGGCCCTAAACAACTTAGTGAGACCATGTTTCAAAATAAAAAGATAAAAAGGACTGGGTATGTGGCGCTGTGGTTAAGCACTCCTGGGTTCAATTTCTGGTTACCCCTCCCCCAAAAAAAATTCACTTTCACAGTTTGACAATAGCATCAGAGAGTAAGAGACACCGGGGCACAAGGGCAACACAAATGTTATTATCTCTTATCAATCTTAGGACTTTAGAAAATATGTTTTCCTAAAATTTCACCTACTTATTGTTCAACAGCTTCTCACTATTAATTTTTCTTTTAAAAGGTATGCAAGGAGAAGAGGGTAGTATTTTGCTTCTGGTCTTTTGTTTGTTCCCCTCTTTCATTTTACAGTAAAGGAAATGGTGTTTGTAAACAGTTAAGGATCTCACCTGCTTCAACCTGTATGTACTACCAAAGGGTTTCTCAGCCATCAGGAGTCTATTTCCTTAATGAATATTTGATATATATTAGTGAGACAACCGAGTCCTCATGTAGCTATGTTGAGTCTCTAATGATGCAAATAATCTTATTATCATAAACGGCACGATTAGTGTGAAGGACATCAGGTTACTGTTCAGGCCTTGCTGAGGGCTAATTAGTGGTTTAATCAACAAGAATCATTGAGCACCTGCTGTGCCCCACACTGGGCTCCACAGGGGGAATGCTTCTAGGGCCCCAGGATGGCAAGTGTGTCAAAGTGTGAAAGGTCTTGTTAAGGAAAGCAGATTGTAATTTTATTATTCTGAGCTCTGGGAAGACTGGCCTGAGAGAGACCTTTGAAAGAGTTAGTGCAATCAACTGAGACACCATTTGAAGCATGATGAACAGATTACAGTTGAATATTTCCTCTGCTGCTGATACAGTTGATTAACACCAATTCTTTGATAGCTGAGAACGAAACATGAGAATTTTCTCTTCTGATGTCCCTTTCATTTTCACAGTTTTTTGTTTTTTTTTGCAATGTACAAAGTAACCTCCCATATACTTTCAGTTCCTCCTCAGCAGAGCCAGTGTCAAACAAGACAGGAGCCATGATCTCACCCTCTCCCATAACAGGATCCATTGCAATTAGCCAAGATGTGACTCAGGAGCTCAGATTAGTTGAGTATAGAGAGATAGCAGAGGTGGGAGTAGAACACAGGTCTTCCATTGACTCCTGTCACCTGGGCTTCCCAAACTGCCGTGTGCAGGCATTGCTGGGGGACCTGGCTAAAATGCAGATTCTGATGCAGCACATTTGGAGCAAGGACTGTGTTTCTTAGAAGCTTCCAGGTGGTGTTGATGCTCTGGTCCAGGGACCAATTCTGTGTAGTAAGACTTTATACTGACTTTGTTTATTATGAAAAAAGTCATGTGAAAAAAGAAAAAAATAGGGGTAAAAAATAGCTGAATCCTCTGATGTACTACACAGAATGTATAATTATTCTTTTTCACACAAATACATGGAAAATACAGAATCAGTCATTCAAAAGTCCCTCTTAAAAATATAGTAGCTGCTTCTCAATAAAAAAGAATCTGAATCAGGAAAAAGACGCCTGCCCTATTTAAATTCAGAGATAAATTATTCATAATAAGTCTGGCTGACAGCCATTTCATAATTATCCAGAATGTAATTTTGGCTACGTTTCCCAGAGCCTGGTGTCAGGATAGCAGAACGCTTTTTCAGAGGCAGCGTCGATGCCCACAAGGTGGCGCTCGCGGGCCGGCGGTGCTCGCGGCAACCTGGGCACCTCTGGCGCCGCTGGCCGGGTGCGCAGCCAGCAGAGCGCAGCGGGAAGGAGGCCTGCACCAGGGGGCCCCACTAAACTTCATGCACCAAGTGAACGAACCTGAGGCACCCAAGAACCCGGAGGTAGTCGCTGAAGTTATTACAGCAACAATTTAGTTTTGTTTTTATTTCCCAATTCATGAAACAATGGTGAAGAGACAGGATTGGAAAAAAGAAACTGCCCTGTTTTCAAAGGTGGAGAGCCCAGGAAATGTCAGCCGTCTACATTTCCAACTCTTATAAAAAGGATAGATAGCTCTCATCCTTTCAATGACAATTACTAAGTCAATAGACAAGGCTCTGGGGAAGAGGCAGAGACAAGTCCGGGTGGATGGGCAGATGAAGGAACTGTCAATCATGGAAACCTGGGGAACAGTCTTGAGGGGACACTATAGCTATAGAGACGCCCTGGGGAACCTCAGGGGAGAGCGGGGCCTGGAAACTTTCTCTGGGAACTACTTGCAAACAGGCCACAGCTCCAGTAGAGAGCAGGACAAAACTGTCAAGGAAGGAAGGTGACACCCAGCAAATACTTAAGGGCAAATTATCAACCAATGACATTAGAATCCTCTAGATTCTAGAGAGAGGCGCTGTTGTGAGCTGTGGCTGTTACCAAATGATTAGGAAAGTTCGGTTTTCCCGTAGGTTGGTGAGTAACTCCTGAGGTAATATCTCACTGACACTAACTGACTCTAAGAAACAATCCTGCAACATAGTAATCA